ATAACAGCTACTCAACTGCATGTCAATCAGTGGTGAATAGGACAATTCTATACTGTTTACTACAAGACTCTTGCCAACGGGACTGCAAGAGATTGGTAGGAAATGGTGGATCTGTTAACCTAGTTAATATTAAGTCAGCTTTACACTGTGTTATTGTTGAGGCCTATTCTTAAGCATTAACCACGAGAGATTCACGAAATTAAACTGGCAGCACGCAACTCCTAAAGTGCAATGGAAACCGTTCACAGGGGCTTTTTATTAAGGATCAGGAAAGAACATAGCAAAGGGCTGTGATAGAAACCCACAACTCAGTCTTTGTGATGAACGGAGTTGCACAATAATGCTTTATGCATTATGATGCTATTCTGGTAATAAATACCCATATCAAAGTGTGTTAGTTGGTAGCACTCTTGCCTCTTGTTCTGGTTCAAACCGCCCATTGGGACTGGAGCTCAGTGTCTAGACTGACACCCAGGACAGTACCGGGGTGGGCGGGGGGGGGGGGGGGGGTGGTGGGAATAAGAATTAGAAGTTACAACGTTGGTCTTTTCTTCAGATGGAGGTTAAAGACTCCATATTAGACTCCAGCCCAGCCCAGCCAGGATCCATTTCCTTCTCCTTGTCAGTTTCCACATGCACAATTCCCTGGGTCCCCGTGTTACAAGATACCTGAACGAGCACATCAACAAAGTACATGCACAGCAAGAGATTGGCATGGGAGAGCGAATGCTCATTTACAAATCTATCAGCCCGTTTCCCCTCTGGAGTATTTAATTTCTGTTGACATCACTCCAGACAGGCTTTGGGAATATTTTAAAGCAATTATTACACTTGTACGAGTATGAAAAAAAAAGGTGTTTACTATGAACACGGGAAGAGTAGAAGGAATACAAAATGGTCTCTCAGTCATCAAACTCAATTGGGTCTAACCTTACAACAACATCAAGCTGTATTTATACACAGAGCCTTTCACGCCAAGAGGACCCTAAATCCTTTTCATCTGCTTCCAGTTTCAGCACTAAACCCTTTGGTCGACCAATTTTCACACAAAGGGTAGTGGAAATCTGGAACTCTCTCCCCAAAAGGCTGTGGATGCTGGATCCATTCAAAATTTCTAGACTAAGTTGGCTGGATTTTTGCTAGGTCAGGGTATCAAGGGACATGGAGCAATGGTGGGTAAATGGAGTTAAGGTACAGATCAGCCATGGTCTACAACAACTTGCATTTGCATTTATATAGCGCCCATCATGCAAGGTAGCTTTCCAGAGCGCTTAACAGAATAGAAGGTGTAACAGATTTGAGGGGCTGAATGGCCTATCTCTATTCCTATGTTTCTATGTTCCTATCAAGCCAAAAAAAGTAATGCACGTCTGTGATTTTCCCCCTTAGCTTGTGGGGGTGGGGGCAAGTGATTTGACTGTGGGATATACCACAGCCTAGCCCTTTCCTCACCCTTGCACACAAATAGGAAACTGGTTGTTAGTCGATAATTTTTAAAAAATGTGGTCACTCAATCCACGACAGTTTGTGGGAGACTGCTGTGTGCAATTGGCTGCTGCGTTTCGTTCACAAAATACAGTCACTACACTTTACAGTCTATTCTGTTAAGCGCTTTGAGACGTCTCAAAGACATAATAATGTCTCTATCAAATGCAAGGATTATTATTGCACGTGCACACCTTCTAGCCCAGCTTTAACACCGAGCAATGTGACAGGTGTGGAGATGTAAAGAAATACACCATTAAATGCGAGGAAAATAAAGTAGCTGCTGGATCCACCCTGAGTCTGAGCAAATCATGTCGGGCTGGTAGGTTTAATAGAAACAATTAAGAATGGCTTAAAATGCCATCTGTGTTTAAGCACCATAATCCTCTAAGCTTCCCAGGTCTATACTCCAGTTGATACAGTAAACAGTCAATTCAATACACTTTTTGAAAATGCACTTAATTCTGTAGGTCAAAATTAATCATAGCTCTAAGGCACTATTCACAAAAACAACTCCCATGTACAGGCTGAGGCAGTTCGGAAACTTAACCCCCGCATATACACCATTTAGATGTGAAACAGACTTATTACACCAATATAGATTTACTTCTCTCTTAAAGACCTTGGTTTCAGTACCTTTGAAACAGGATACAATGCAATTTACATTTATACATTGCCTTTCATGTTAGGAAGACGTTACATCTGAGCTTCGGGGGGTGGGGGGGGGGAGCAGTGTGGGGAGAGAGCTGAGAGTGGGGGATGGGGAGAAAGGCGGGCAAAAGGATGGCTGTAGGATATTCAATCCCTATTGCGTTCCCATACTGTAGTAATAAGGCACTATATGAAGTTCAATATTATAATAATCCCTACACTTGATATTGTGCCTTTCACTTTGGGAGGATGTCTTTTAAAAGATTTACAGTGTAAAGCGTAATGACTACACTTTGTAGGCGAATATGGCAGCCAATTTACACCCGGCAACAAACAGCTATTAAATGATTGACCAATTTTATCTGATGGCTTGTTGGCTGGGCTCCCTCTGTTATCATTCAGGATAGCGAGATTTCACAACACACCATGGAATTTGTCAGAAGAAAATACACAAACCATTAACTTTAAAAAAATACCATTGAAAGGATTCTGGACAAAGCCCTTCCATTAATACCGGCTGACGTCATCCTGGGGACTGGCACCTTCCTTTTAATGCACTGAGCAAATCCTCACACAAAGCTCTTGTGGCTGTAGCGAAGCTGAGCCACGTCTCCCTGCAGGCTACACACTGTGAAGAGGCTTTACAAGTGTCTCCCGAAGGGGGAAAACACAGCTCGCTTTCGGGAAACACGACGTCTGGTGTCTGCATTCCAGCCAGCGACAACTCCACTGACACGGCAGCACATTCTGTTACAGAGCAAAACCTACCCAAATCGCACGGCCTCGCAGAACTTTCCAGAATAATTAAAGCAGCTGTATGCTTTACAACTGGTTTTCATAACAAAAATCAGACTCTTAAGAAGCTGCTGAATCTTTGGAATGTACCGAGCGCCCAACAGGGAGTTATTTAAAGACTCCAACAAACACAAGCCTCTCACCAACTACAACAACAACTTGCATTTACAAGGCACACTTCACGCAGGCCAGCGCCTCTCACAGCACTTAACAGCGGCAAAGCTTGACGCCGAGCCAGGGGGAGGGGGGAGGTGACTATACGCAACATTGAACATCTGGGTCTCCATGTTTTGTGTGTCAGTCAGTCAGTCAGTCAGCTGGCTGTCACCATTCACATAACCCGATAGCCACAGCCCTACAAAGCTCATACAGAAGCAGCACACTTGCTTGGTTCGGCCTGTGCTGGCACGGCTCTTACCTGTTCTCAGCTAGAGAACGGTGCTGAGAAACACTGAGAAAATAACGTATTAATAAAAAGGGAAATGGGAGAGGGAGGATCCGGGAACAAAACGCCGACAAACACAGTTGTGAAATAGACGCTCATTTCAGAAACTTGCACCTTAATTGTTCCCAGCTGTAATGTAAACTGCCTCACTCATCACTTCCAACGGCTCCCAGCACTTTAAATGAATGGGCTTTCACAGGATCATTTCTTATTAATACCTTGCAGACTCCTGCAGGGCATTTGGTCTTTCACTTACATCCAGATCCGTTATGTTCTGCACTGACTGTTGCTGTGGATGACAGCTGGACACTGACACACACACAATCGATGGCCTGGTGCCACTATCCAGACTTACACAGGAGTGGGCGAGAGGAAACGAGAGAATACACTCAAAACATATACAGAACTTCAACCCGTAAAAAATAACAACCTAAGGCCCCTAAATAAAGTCCGATTAAAAGCATCAGGCACAAGTAAAACTGTGAGCTGAATACACTCGGCCACAAGGGATCATTAAAATATGGCTAATTGGAACTACGATCCAGTTAGCTGGGTCTAATTGCAGCTCGCCCATTAAACGAAAAGTCTTTAAAAGCAGCTAGAAGTTCTGGTCATTAATCACAAACAATAGAAATAGATCCACACTTTACACACAGGATCAGAACACTTACAGCAGGTCCTTGTGACAGCTAAATCCATTCTCCCGAGTCAACACCAGTGAGCTGTACAAATGCTCAGAGCATCAGATGATAAGCTTCTGACAGTGGACAACCAAAGACCTCATTTTCCAGTCAAAGTTACCATCGTATCTGATCAGTCCAAGTTCTGAAGAAGGAAAATTTCCCTTGCAAACTTAGGCAGATTTTTACCAGACGGATTCAAACCCTCCTGTTGTACCTGCCAGATTCCACATTTGCATTCTGTAGCAGTGCCAGGCAGGCTGTGGCCAGTGGTGAGCTGTGTCGGGCCGGGGGGAAAGGGAACGAGGAGGAACCCTGTGCGATACCCACCGGCACTCACTGGGAATCAGTTTGGAGCAGTTTTGGCAGAGGGAAGGAAAATGGGATCGTCCCTGCTGATTTTTTGCAATTTAATCCAAACAATAATATTGTAAACCACACATACACGCACGCACGGCTGGAATGAATAAAGGAGGCACAGAAATTCAAAACAGCCAGCGTTTGGAATTTCAGCTGTGGTTTCGAGACTCAGAAGAAATTAATGTCTGCTTGCATGCATGGATTCGAAAGCTCCCTATGGCGTCTACACATTGTACAGTCAGATATTTAGTCAGAGGCACATTGACTGACTCTCCTGCTGTTACTCTGAACTCCCTTCACAGAACCAAAGAACGCTACACCCCAGAGACAGGCCATTTGGCTCACTAAGCCCTCACTGTGGTTAGTTATCCTCCACAAGACTCTAATCCCAGGCTCCCGCTCGCTCCAATATCCTTTGTTCTTTTAAAGCATCAAATTCTCTTGGGAAGAATTCATACAATATATTGATTAGAGAAAAGCAAACGTGGATTTGAAAGCAGTTTAGAAATCAAAGGAGCTCATTTAAAGATCATTCAGGTGAAGCTCGGAGAGTTCAGAGTTCTGATGATGAACAGGGAGCCTACCTTTACTTGGTGCCGGTGAGAAGAGTTTTTCGGAGCCTACATCGGACGCCTGTGGAAGAGGAAAGAGAAGCCATTAACATCTTCGATGTAAACATTGGGTCTTCACATCGTCTCTTCCCCGATGCACTACACGGACACGGCCAGTAGAGGGAAGTGTTTTGCCACCAAAGGCCAACCACGAGTGGCTGTAATAAATACTTTAAAAAAGAAAAAACACAACGGCGATAATAGATAGATTTATCAAAATCCCTGGGCCTGGCTGTAAATAGAGAGGAATAGCCTGTCCAACGCACTCCTGCATGTGAAGAAATAAACTTGGCCACAACCACGGGGGCTCCTGAAAGCCAAATATACTTTGTCCACAGACAGACCTCCGCGATTAAATTGGGAAAATAAGAACTTGCTTCACACAGGTTCTGACAATGGTGTAATGAAACAGCGTAGCCATCGATGGGAGAGAGACGCACACTGAGCCTCTCCTACACGCGACAATTTTACAATTGCTTTTGGTTTGCGAGTGGCGTCATGGTGGATCATCCACTGTGGCTAAAAGCCTGGATTAAGCAGCCGCTAGGGTTTCGGTTCCCAAACACAGCTCCAGTGCATGCAGTGCTTGCCGAGACACCACCGACTCAACAGCCTGCAAAGTTGTTGCAAATTTCTTTGATCCCCTCCGACCTGGCTTGCTTTGAGAGTGCCATTTCGTCAATTAACCCTGTCACTTTGATCCGGTCTCCCCTTGGCGTAAGGGGATTGAACTTCCTTCAGGTTTCACATGCCAAGACTTCCCGCCAGTCCTCAACCCAACTTGTCAGCCTCACTAAGCCTTTTGTACTCAAAATTGATTTTCAATGAAAACCATCTGTGGTTACGGGATCCTCAAGCAACTCAGCTAATATAAGCAGCTTCACAACATTTGCTTAGTGCCAATGAGAGGCAGTGGAGGAAAGGATTAACTGATATCCTTAAATAAAAGCTCTGGACATTAAATGCTGCTGCACAGTGACTCAACCATAAACTCTGCTCAGTCTGTACTGGTATTGGATACTTTACAAACCCTGAGTCTCTCTGCAGGCCTCAACCCTGCAGGAGCACTATTTTACTGAAGACGTTTCAATGACTTGCTATCCTGGGCAAACTCTGAATTTCGAAGCAGAATTGTTTAACCTAAATTCCAGTAATCGGCGGTAAAACAGTCACCTCAAATTGACCCAAACCAGCACCCGGCACTTTCCTTTTTAAACCCATTTCCTCACCATTCTCCATATCCCTCAAGACCCTTATTTCTAAGTATCTATCAATCTGCCCTTCAAAGAGGAGTGATATTATTGTTTCTGTGAGCACACTGACCAATTCCACATCTCAGGTGTTTTGGAGCAGTTGTGTTCCTCTTTGTCACACGCAGAACGTGAAGATAGGTCGAGCTTCCTGCTTACTTTACACAATAAACCCTGGAGCATTCCCTCGGCTTCCCTGTCACGGGGTCTCACTGGCAGGACAGCCCGGGACAAACAATGACTGAAGAAATGAACTCGCTAACACTGGCATATGGCAGCTCACTCTAGTACAATTACTGTAGGGCACTCTTTAATCCACCCCTTCAGCCGAGTCGGCCTGAGATCTCCCAACAGCACCGGGTTCCAGAAGCTGGAAAGTTGCTTGAATTGTGCTTTTGTTTATGTATTAACTGCTCGTTTTATTTTTTTCCCCGTTGCCAATCACACTGCTCTCGCTCAGTACGGCACACAATGGTTAGCTCGGCAAAATGCCAACTTTACTTTGAAGTCAATGGTTCCTCGACTGTATGCATTAAGGCTAGGATCCTGCCTGGCTCTTCATTCAAAGGAAATCGGGGAGAAGAACCACTTAGAAATTGGCAGCCGGGGCCCACTTCAGGGCCTGGAAACGAGTGCATGTACACCAGTGTACTGTATACATGGCAACCGCATGGTAAGCACCTTAGTCCTTAAACAAGCGGCGTATAATGAAGGGGGCAGAGAAAGGAAGCAAATCCAAGGATCATTTGCACCCATTTTCAATGCAGCAAAGAGAATTAATAGCACACAGCCTTAATTTTAGTTCTGAATATTCAGAAGGCGTTTAGCACGACAAAACAACAGCAAATTATTCAAGAGGTGTTATGTCAACGCCCGATACAGAGCATGCTGATTAGCGAGGGCTCAAGTGAGCAGTACAATTATATCTGCAGAATTAACTTTCGGAATATTCAAGGCCAGTGCTGCCGTTAGGGATGGTTGTTCCCTATCAGGGCTGCAGCCAAACATCATCTCCTGCAATACTAATGAATTAGAGAAATGTCGGGGAATAGAATAGCGAGAGATGCTTCATAACACTACTGTTATTTCACGGTTGCCAACTGTGGATTGTCGAGACAGTGAAGCTACAGTGATTTATGGTGGTTTTCCACTGCAGAACCGATTCAAGAACCAGTTCTGCAATTCTGCCGCAGGGTCTGTCCGGGCCTGGGAAGTGTCATGTTTATGTGGTCGTCTCAACTGGACTGGGAATAAAGGGCAACTGTGCAAGAATATTACTAAGTGCTGCACCGTCCCCAATGAAAGCTCTGCCCGTACAGGAAGGGTATGCCACTCCTGGGTGGGAAGATCTCTCAGCCAATCTCTTGCCTGCAGACCTCCTTTCGGAGCTGGGAACCTTTCTCCTCTGCTCTCTGGCTTTGTGAGTCGCTTGCTCCCTCGCACCCTCGGTATCTGCCAGCCACCGCCCCACCCTCCCTAACATTCGCCCAGGCTCTATCTGCTGTTCACAAGACAGCGATTTTAAGGCCATGACGACTGTGGGATTCAAATAACCTGCTTGAGCTTTGCTTCCGTGGTTTCTAATGCAATTGCAGCCCTTTGATGAGATTACAGCCTCATAATTACTGCCAGCGACCCATTGTGCTCCACAACTCCCAACGACCTGAAATAATGCACACAACCAGATTTCCTTTCCCGTTTGAGTGCAGAAATCGCATCACAGAAGTGAAAGGAATCCCGAAAAGGAAAAAGGAGTCTTTATGCGGCTGTCTGTAAAGATTATGAATACAGGCACCAACAAGCTAAATATTTTATCTGCTGGTCTCTGGCTGATCCTGTGGGGGAAAGTCTGTTCAGTGGATTTCACTTACACAGCGCGCGCCCAAAGTGTATAATTCTCTTAAGTGCATACAATTTGAAAAAGCAAAGCCATTTCCTTCCTGCACACACTGGATTCATTTCTATTAACCAGACACTGTGCTAGTTTACATTCCTGGAAACGTATAATTGTTTCCCCAGATTACACTCGTGCCCTTGTTGAGTGAAGATTACAGATATTCCTGGCCTGTGTCGTTCCCTGCATGGCAGTTTTGCGGTCTTTCAACGATGGTTGCTTTGAAAGCAAAGCAAGTTAAAAATTGAACAGCACTGCGGAACAAGCTTCAGTTTGTGTTCATGGTGGATAAGTGCACAGCATAACGCACTCTACAAAGAGTGCACCATTTTTAGTGGAATAATGCAAGGACAAGCGCTGGAAGATGTATTTTAAAATTGATGGAATCTAATTTAACACTTTTTATTCCCATATTATTTTTTTCCCGAGGATAATAATGTTTCCCCCAAAAATTTGGCCACTCAATCCACGACTGTTTCTGGGACACAGCTGTGTGCAATTGGTTGAAGCGTTTCCCAGTTTTACAGTCAATCCACTTTACAGTATATTCTGTGAAGCGCTTTGAGACATTTCGACGACGTGATAAGATGCTACATCAAATGCAAGGATTATTATTATTATTATTAAGGGTGGAATGGAAACCAAGCAAAGGAAAAGGTGAAGCTTGCTTTACAAATAATATGTGCTTACAATCCCATAACACAATTCAAACAGCGAAGGGAGTTTCTCCCAGAGTCCTGGTTAGCTATCCAACAAAACTGTGATATCCTCGACTCCAAACACGGTCACTACAGCAAGCAGCTAAACACTGCTTCAAGGTCTCACAATGTAATAGGCACTGTATCAAATATAAGGATAACAACAACAACAACAAGATTCCATTTATAGAGCGCCTTTCACGTCGGGAGGACGTCCCAAGGTGCTGGACAGTTGGGTCAGGACCCGAGCAGAGGGGAACTGGTCAGGGTGAGGGGAGGGGAAGGAGGGAGCGAGGAGGGGGTAGAGCGTCGAGAGCGGAGCTGAAGGTATGGTCAAAGAGAAAGGTCTTGAGACCGGCCTTGAAGGAGGAAAGAGAGGAAGGGGCGAAGGCACTGGGGATAAAGTTCCAGAGCCTCGGGGCTGAGAGGCTGAAGGCCCGACCACCGATGGTAGGGCAGTTGGAGCGGGGGATGTGGAGCAGACCGGAGCCAGAGGAACGGAGGGTACGGGCAGGTAAGTAGGGGGATAGTAGGTCAGAGAGGTAGGAGGGAGCGAGGCCGTGAATGGCCTTGTAGGTGAGGATGAGGATCTTGAAATCGATCCTCTGGGGGATGGGGAGCCAGTGGAGGCGAGGGCGAGGGTGGGAGTGATGTGGTCGCGGTGTCTGGTGCGGGACAGTACACGAGCTGCAGAGTTCTGAATGACCTGCAGCTTGTGGAGGGAGGTGGCGGGAAGGCCGGCGAGGAGAGAGTTCCCATAGTCCAGCCTTGAGGATAAGTAGTAATGAGCAATCAAATACTCAGGAGGATTGAAACACAGCCGACACTTGAAGCCACCACCCTTCCTGCTGCACGCTCTGGCATTGGAGAGACATTGCTTTGTAGAGTCTCTGTGACAGCGGCTGACAGGCTTGTGGCTTCAGGGTCAAAGATAATAATCCTGTCCGTGAAGTGCCAGACAGGGCTGGTGCTTGTTGCCCTGCTATCAGGGGCCGGATGCGAGTATGTGTGAGTGTGCACCAGCAGTGACACTGGGCCCGTCCTGCGGAGACTGATCACATTACAGTAGGAGCTCCCCCCCTCACCCCCCAAACCCCCTGCTCTGCCCTTCCCCCGTTCTCCCCCTGCTCTCCAACCCCCCGCTCTAACCCTACCCACCCTCCCTCCGCCCCTGCTCTGC